CTCATACTCCTGTGGCCCAGCACGTGTAACCACAAGATCCCACTTACAAAACATACATTATACAACATAAAACATAACAAGCAAGGTAGAGTACTACTTGTAAAGAAAACTGTGCACACATTCCATAGAATAAAATATTTAAGAATTTTAATTTTAGCTGAATTATTTCATGTGTTGTAGATTTGTTGAAATCATTGAAAAAATTCAACATTTTTGCCCGTGTAAAAAAAAAAAAAACATTGAAAATTGCACTTTCACAATTTCTTTAAAAAACACATTTTTTGAACACTGTGCAACTCTATAATAAGAGTCTATAGGAAGAAACGAAGAAGCAGAATAAATGTGGATCAAGGTCATTTTTATGAAAATCTAAAGGGTTGAATCTCATGACCACTAGATACTGTGCCATCGCGGTTCCTAAGTCATTAAAAAAATGGATTTTTCAAAATCAGGTGATTTTTTTATTTTTTTATGAAAGAAGGAAGTAATCAATCAATACAAATGCAGCACAGAAGTAACTTTTCTTGCCCTTCGACCAAGAAAACAGGGATTTAGTTGACACATCCAAGGAGTGCAAAGTTGATTGCGACATCACAGTAACCAAACAATTTTTCATTCATATGAATATACCCATCACATCTACACGCTATTCAGTTACAGACAATATCAAAGACAACACGTCATTACAAACCCGTACAAGTCAGAAAACTGGCTTTCTCAGAGCCACATTGTGAGTAAACCTGATGACAATAAAATACATAAAATGCTTTAATGAAGCCCTGGGGAGAATGTAGCAGCATTTCTAAGTCTCTCTTATCCCCATGCTGAAATCCTGGAAGATATGTAGCCAGCATTTCTAAGTCTCTTATCCCCATGCTGAAATCCTGGAAGATATGTAGCCAGCATTTCTAAGTCTCTTATCCCCATGCTGAAATCCTGGAAGATATGTAGCAGCATTTCTAAGTCTCTCTTGTCCCCATGCTGAAATCCTGGAAGATATGTAGCAGCATTTCTAAGTCTCTTGTCCCCATGCTGAAATCCTGGAAGATATGTAGCCAGCAACATTTATATTTCTCTCGTCACCAATATGGAGACCGGGAAGAAATGTAGTAATGTTTTAAATTTTCTGACCAGCAGTTAAATCCTGTTGTAAATACTGAAACATTTCTCGCCCACGATGGCCATGTTAGTTACTCTGAACCAGATATTATGTGGTGTACATTATTATCTTGTAGATTCAGTCGCAAGCATGGTGGTAACGGTTAGAAAGTAGATGTTCTCGAACGCCATAGTTTCTTTTCTGCCAGATTTTTCAGCGATTGACGGATCTGAAGTTTGGCAGCGACAGCTGGTCGTTGTAGCGTCCAGGACAACTTTTCCCGCTTCTTGCTGACGCAACGAATCTGCTTGCACAGTTTAAGGAAGGCGTTTTTGACGGATTCTGGCTCCTCACTGGCAGAAATCTGGGTTAACAGAAAACGTGTATGTTTAATTGATCTCAGTGAGGACAAGTTGCCTAAACCTGAATATAGCTAACATATATTAGAAATAATAACGTTAACAATGGATACAATAGTAAAATTATTTGAAAGTAAATCTCCAGACAAGGAGATGATGTATACGTATAAAATTGTAATACAAAAACAATAATTCGAACATCGGAAGACAACCATTCCATGCAAGTAATCTTTCACAGGGTTGAAGAGCTCACCCCCACGCTCAGCCCTCCTCCTTTCTCATCCGGGTTTTGGGCCGGGTAATGACAACATCTTTAAAGGGAAAATGAATTAAGGAGCAAGGATGCCCACAGAAACCATAAAATAAACGATGATTAGAGAGGGCAAAACTGAAGGATTAGGTTCCATCCATGATTTTTAACTAATTGCACAGGGTAGAACGAATTGGAGACTGCGAGCCTTGTGTGACATGTATGGACACAAGAGGACAATAAATGAATACCAGTATGTATAATGCCAGCTTTCTGTATAAATGTATGGTTCCAATGGCCATACCAGCAGCATCACCTGCAGGCGCCCCTATCGCGGCGCCTCGCACACCTACGCCAACAACTGAAGCCGCTCCCATCGTGGCGCCAGCACAAGAAGCCGCCCCAGTCGTGGCGCAGGAACCTACCGGCACCCGCCTACAAAGACAGCAGCCAGGAGCCCACAGCAGTGACAACATCATCAACCAGAGCTCACGTTGTAACAAGGCGTGGCACACAGCCGCAAACTGCCGCAGCAGCCCAGCATGCCGCTACTGCTCTAAGCCGCACGACTTCAATGAGTGCCCACTTGCCAAGAAGGACCCCGACTTTAAAAAGCCTAACAGTAGCAAAAGGTGTTCAAACTGTGGAGGGCCCCACAGCGCCAGATACATGGGCTGCACCTACCTAAAAAGTGCAAGCAGCAAGCAGCAATCCCAAGTAGTGAGAGAAGACCAGAGAAAGTGATTCCAGTCGCTAACAACAACGCGACAACCCAGGAAGTGAGAGCACTCAAAATCGCAGTCCAGAAGCTGACAGCAGACAAAGAGAAGGCCACCGCTGAAAGACGCGAGATGCTGGGACTAATCTCCCAAACACTAGACGAAGTCAGAGCCCAGAAGCGAGACAGAATAGCAGAAGCTGCGCACCACACCAAGCTGCTAGCAGAAGTAACTGAAGCAAACAAAAAACTCCAAGGCCTCCTGACACAGCTGAAGACAGAACAGGACCAGGCAGCAACCTACCGACTAGCCGAAAGAGAAGAAAGAAAAGCAGAGACGGCCTTACTTAACGAAGCCAGAGAGTCTGCGTACAGAGAAGTCGCCCTGCTAGTAAAAACAACAGCAGAAGCAGAAGCAGCTACACGAGAGGCAAAACAAGAACGAGAACTCTTACTAGCAGAGAGAAGCAAGGCACCAGCCGCAAAACCAAACATCAGCAGGGCCGACAAAAGTACAGAAACAGAAACCGATGAGGGAGGCACTGTCCAGCCAGTTGAAGAAGCCGTGTCCGAAGCTACAGAGGCGACCCCAACCACAGATGAGGCCACTATTCCTGAAGGAGGCAAAGAGGCGGTAGCCATAAAGGTGGAAAGCGAGGCTGACCTTCTAAAAATGATAGAAAGCTTTAACAAAAGAAGAAGAAGAAGAAGAAGAAGAAGAAGAAGAAGAAGAAGAAGAAGAAGAAGAAGAAGAAGAAGAAGAAGAAGAAGAAGAAGAAGAAGAAGAAAAGAAGAAGAAGAAGAAGAAGAAGAAGAAGAAGAAAGAGAGAAGAAGAAGAAGAAGAAGAAGAAGAGAAGAAGAAGAAGAAGAAGAATAAGAAGGAGGAGAAGAAGAAGAAGAAGAAAGAAGAAGAAGAAGAAGAAAGAAGAAGAAGAGAAGAAGAAGAAAGGAAAGGAAAGAAAGAAAGAAAGAAAGAAAGAAGAATGAAAGAAAGAAAGAAAGAAAAGAAAGAAAGAAAGAAAGAAGAACGAAAGAAAGAAAGAAAGAAAGAAAGAAGAAAGAAAGAAAAAAGAAAGAAAAAAAAAAAGAAAAAAGAAAGAAAGAAAGAAAAGAAAGCAAGAAAGAAAGAAGAAAGAAAGAAAGAAAGAAAGAAAGAAAGAAAGAAAGAAAGAAAGAAAGAAAGAAAGAAAGAAAGAAAAGAAAGAAAGAAAGAAAGAATGAAAGACAGTAAAAAAGAAAAGAAAGAAAAAAGAAAAGAAAGAAAAAAGAAAAGAAAGAAAGAAAGAAAGAAAGAAAGAAAGAAAGAAAGAAAGAAAGAAAGAAAGAAAGAAAGAAAGAAAGAAAGAAAGAAAGAAAGAAAGAAAGAAAGAAAAAAAGAAAGAAAGAAAGAAAAGAAAGAAAGAAAGAAAGAATGAAAGACAGTAAGAAAGAAAGAAAGAAAAAAGAAAAGAAAGAAGAAAAGAAAGAAAGAAAGAAGACAATAGCAACTCGCTATAGTGATGCGACAGACTGGCTAATAGCCTAGGGTACATTCAGGGAATAAGGTGCGTTTAAAACAACACAGAACACAAAAGGTCCTTAGAAAAAAAAAAAAATCGACTCCAAGATCATTTTAAAAACAAGTTCATTTTTTAAAACTTGAAAACTGTAGGTGAAACACCAGGTGACGTCTGTAATTACAACTCAAAGATAAAGCCAGTGTGTCTAGATTGCTTTTCACACTATATCAGCACCTGATCCTGTCAGTGGTGGATTATGGCCTGGGACTGCTTACCGTCTCAAAGAGTCAGATGAACAAACTAGAGCGCATACAGAACGCGGCTATGCGGGTCATTCTGGGTTGCACCAGAGACACCCCAGTGGTGTGTGTGCGATACATCCTTGGTTTGCCGACGGTTGCAGGTAGGCACAAGGTGATGTAGGCGAAGTCATATCTCAGGGTAGCTGCAGACACAAATCACCCTCTGCATGAAGCTCTGGGTGCAGTTAAGGGTCAGCGGCTGATAAGAGGGAGGTCATGGATGGCTCAGGCAGAAGACACAATCAGACAGGTTTGCATCCTTGAGAACATCAGGCGAGGAAAGGAGTGGGTCAAAGTGCCGCCTGAGCAGTCGGACTTGTGTAGAGTCATAATCACGCTGAGCCGGGAATGCAGAGACTGGCCAGCAGGTGCCACACAGATGGAAATTCAGCAATTAATTCAAGATAATGCTCTCTCAGAGGATTTGATCATTTACACAGACGGTTCAGTGTCAAGAGGCAAAAGAAGTGCTTGGGGCTTTTTAGCAAAAGTTAATAGTCGACGTTTGGTGCAGGAGAGCCTAGCATATGATACCACAACATCCAGCTTAAGAATGGAGGTGGAGGCCGTCACTGCAGCTTTCCGCTGGCTAGAGAACACGACACACACACACATTGTAATTGTAACTGATTCAGAAAGCATGCTGAGGAAGATCAGAAGAGGTATGCTTCGTGCAGAGTGGCATGCTTCGCTGCGAAGGACACGAGTGAGTACGTATTGTCTGAGATTTTTTCAACCGGTCACGCCGTGTGTTTGGGAAATGAACAGGCGGACAGACTGGCTGGCTCTGCACAACTTGGTGGAATACATGATAGGGCAGACGTGGTTAGTGCCTTGTGGAGAGCGTGTACAAATGCGGAGGAGCAGATGGATCACCACAGTTTGGTGAGATTTGTGCGTTTGGGGGTGACGAGAGGTTCTGGCAGAAGCTCAAGGCTCAGAGAAAAGCAAGACGGACATTTAATCAGAAAGCTACTGGCACCATTAGTATCGGAACACTTCGCTGGCTGCTGAAGATGGAGACGGAGCGCTTATGAGAATGCCCCTTTGCTGTGATGTCGGTTCTTGAATCAAATCAAATCAAATCAATCATTTATGTTGTCGGATTGACTTGACACGTGTTCCAAGTGCACTTTTCTCTAACATATTTTCCTATAAATTAGCGATGAATGACGCTTGTAACGCCTTCAGCGGGCTCGGGCCCATGAAGCCAAACTCGAATTGTTATAAACCAATCAGCAGTGGGGAATGTGGTCAAGTGACCATCAATCTGGCCATCTTTCGTTTCAGGATATTACCTGGTACTTATTTTAGGCTGGCTAGTCTGAACTGGCAGTCAAGGTCAATAGTGAAAGTAAAAAAATATCCGTCTAGATGTGGATTTAGATCCACGACATTCGGGCGGGCAGGCGAGTTTCTAACCACTGCGCAACAATCGTTCCCAGTTACGACAGGAAGTTGTCTAGATTTCTTAATAACTGTTCTACCCAACAAACATAGAACCCTGCGTATCCGGCATCACTCAATAAATGATTCTCGCCTGTACATAAATGGAAACACTATAAACTTACAAAGCAACAAACTTAAGACGTTGTGTACCAACATCGCTCAGTAAGTGATTTACTCAACATACCTAAGACGTCGTCTATCCAATCATATCTCAGTAGACAATCAACCCAGAATACCTATAACGTTGTGTACAAATATGGCTCAGTAAATGATTTAGTTAACATATCTAAGACGTTGCATTGCCTATCCAATCATTTCTTACATATACCCAAAATATCTATAATGTTGTGTACAAATATGGCTCAGTAAATGATTTAGTTAACATATCTAAGACGTTGCACTGTCTATCCAATCATTTCTTACATATACCCAAAATATCTATAATGTTGTGTACAAATATTGCTTAGTAAATGATTTAGTTAATATATCTAAGACGTTGCATTGTCTATCCAATCATCTCTCATATATACCCAACATACCTATAATGTTGTGTATCCAACTTTTCTCAGTAGATGATTTACCAAACACACCTAGAATGATAGCAAAGATAACTCACCTTCACAGAAAGGAAACAAAACACACAAAGCAACATAACTAAACACATCAAATAACTGTTCTACACAACACACCAAAGACAAACAATACCTAAGGTCTTTAAACAAATGTTCTATCCAACTTACCGCACAAAACAAACATCCCTTGATCGCTAACACTGGTCTCAGCCTCTGCCGAATTGACAGTTCTCAAGTGAACAAGATCACTTTTGTTGGCAGCAACCAGAATAGGAATTCTCTCGTCTTCCCTGTGGATGTGGTACCTGAGTTATTCTGTCTCCAATGTACTATGTCATGTAAAGGTAGAGAACCAAATGACAAATCGAACCCGTCAGCTTCACACCATCACAAACGACAAATTGACGTTGCGGCTAGACAGCCGTCATCAGCACAAACATAAATCCACAACTACGTACTTAACTGATCAATGTCGATTGAAATCACATTTCTGTCTGTCCAGTAGAATTTATAGACACGCGTGTGGTCACTGAAAATAAATACTGACCAGAAAAAGTCGCGAAAGACAGGACCCTTGACTCCAAATGATCACATAAAACTCTGCCGGATGTTAAGTCTCCCAGGTGAATTGAAACTAATAAGATGGATAAAGTGTTTTTCCAAAGATTTACGAACTTTTCTCATTGGACTGGCTAGATTTGATGGCCGTAACCTCTATGTTGAGGACATTTTGATGATATGAGAACCGAAGTGCAACGTCACTGGTTTGAGGGCACCGTAGTGTTCACTAGACAGAGGTTGTCATGACCTGTCATCTTGTCGTTTCACCGATGTATGGCATGTCATATCTTTTGCAGATTAAAAAAATTCGTTGCGTATCATTTACAGGACGTTGCAGAACCAATCCCGGCTTTTTTTTACTGTTGCGTTTTTTTTCTAGGCAAAATTACGTTCAGTAGTTTGTCATTGTTGGCTCTGTGGCTAAGTCGATGCGAACGCGTCGTAATGCCGGGATGCCGGGTTCGATCCCAGCTGCGGGCCATACGCCTTGCGTTAGTTTCGACAGTTGTATTAAGAAAGCCGACCGTCCGGAAGCAATGGCAAACTACTAGAGGTAAATTTGCCTAGAAAAACCACACAACAGCCAGGGGCTGTTGAGGTTGGTTCTGCAACGTCCTGTAAAGGATACCTGAGTTTGTCATTGCTTACTAAACGGTCGGCTCTCGGTACAACTGTCGAAGCCACCAAAAGGTTATCTGCTCCCATATTGTCTGCAGCTGGGATTGAACACAACACATCGGCACTACAGAGGGCACATGCAACGACTAAGCCACAGACGCCGACTTTGCAGAGAATGGCGTATAAAATATTGCGGCTCGTGCAATGTGGAAGGTAGCGTTTTGGAAATTCCAGACTGTCGGCCTGAAGCACATAGGGCGAGTCTTGCGTACACGTCTATGTAAAAAGACAGTGCCCGAGTGAAGCTTGGACGTGAGACTTAACCGACTTTGTCTTGACCATAACGTCTTTGAGAGTACAGTCATGTTTCTAGGTCATTAAGGAAAGTGCGGAGAAAATAGTGCTGCTGGAAGAGTCAACCCGTGGGGTGCACAGCTGCCTGGGGAAAATGTCCGGGTGTTGTAAACGTGGAAGGAAAACGATAGGATAATTCTGTCGTGATGACGTTTAGGCTTAGAAGTGAGGGCCTTAGCACGACTGATAGATCGTCATGTGTGAGGATAGCTCAAGTGGCAGCACACAGTCGCTGACATTAAAAGTTATGTGATTGTTTCCGTGCGTGACGCGTCAGTCAACTGTCATGGGGGTACCGTTCTAATGTATACATGTGTGTCGGGGACGGGGTAAAAAGGGTGGAAAGGAAGGAAGGGAGGGGGAAGAGAAGGGGTGGGTGAGTCAATGTGCTTTCCTCAAGCTCTATGGTTCGTTTTCCGGAAGTTTCGTTTTCTTCTCTCATTTTTTTAAATGTAATATTATATATATATATATATATATATATATATATATATATATATATTATATATATATATATATATATAAATTTTTATATATTAATATATGTATATATATATATATATATAATATATATATATATATATATTTTTTTTTTTTTTCCCCCATTCAGGACAGCATAATAATAATAATGATAATAACAATAAAAACAATATTAATAATAAGACACGTATTTTAAATATGCACTTTAACAAGAGTTAGCCCCGTCCCTTGAACATTATAAGCGATCTGAGTAAACACAGATGAACCATCTGATGACCAAACAGACAACAGGCGTCCGTGGTTACCTGATCTTCCTGAGCTCGGTGATTAACTCCTCCACCACCTGGAAGCTGTGGGTGTCGGTCAGCGAGAAGACCAGGATGAAGCCGTCGGCCCACATGACCAGGTCCTCTTTCAGTTCTTGGTCTGGCACCTTGGGAGAGGGAGGGAACCAAACTGGTTCTGATACATGTGTAAGAGACTGTGAGAGTGGGTGCGTGAGTGGGTGAGTGAGTCTGTGTGTAACGAGGAGTAAGGGAGTGTGTGTGTCTGTGTGTGTGTTTTTTCGTGAAAGAGACAGAGCACGCGAGTAAGAGAGAGTGTGTTTTGCGAGGAAGAGTGTGTATTTATGTGTGTGACAGAAATAGTACTACTTGAACGAGTCTGTGTTTATGTCTTAGAAGAGACTGAGAGCGAGTTTTTTTTAAATAGACTGAGTGAGCGACTGTGTGTTTGTATGTGTGTGAGAGAGATGGTGGAGAGAAAGAGAGTATGTGTGTGTGCTTGACCAATGTGTCATCAGCTCAGCTGTATGTGTGAGTATATGCGTTTTCTTTGTGTGTGTGTTCTACTGAAATGATAAAAAGACGGAAATAAACAGACACACAAAAAGACACAGGGACCGATAAAATAACCGAAACCGAACATTAAGATTCAAAGACAGACAACGAGAGACAGAGGGGGGGGGGGATAGAGAGAGGAGACAGTATAAAGAAAAGCTGAGAGAGAGAGAGAGAGAGAGAGAGAGAGAGAGAGAGAGAGAGAGAGAGAGAGAGAGAGAGAGAGAGATAAGAAGAAGCAGAAAGATTCTTATTAAAAAAAAAAAAGACAAATAGACATAAAGGAAGACAATGACGAGCAGAGGAAAATGAAAAAAACAAAAAACAAAGAATAAATAAATATAAAAGGAAAATAATCCAAAGCAGGAGTGAAATTATTACTTAGAAAGAAAGATTGAAAGAAACAAAGAAATGAAGAAAACTGACAAGAAGGAAAGAAAGAAAGAAATCAAGAAGAGTGACAAGAAGGAAAGAAAGATAGTAAGAAATGTAGAAAACTCACAAGAAAGAAAGACAGAAAGAAAGAAATGTAAAAAATGACAAAATGGAGAAAAAAAAAAGAAAGAATGAAATAGCAAGGAAAAAATAAATGCAAACAGATGCTTACGTAACCAGCTGTGTCCATAATGTTGACAGTACATTGTTTGCCGTCTATGGGGACATGTGTGCTGAACACGGCCTCTGTTGGAAGACAGAGACAGAACATATCGGCAAGGTTACACCTCAATCGTTTGTTGGTTTGCATAGACAACTTGCAACCGAAGCAGCTTTCTATATCTGGCAACCCAACATGCGAACACTGTGGTAACTGCCGGCACACACACACACACACACACACACACACACACACACACACACACATAATTACACACAAGCACATACACTCTCATACACTCAGAAGCACATACACGTACACACATATCACACACACGCAGGCACGCGCGCGCACACACACAAACAAATCACGAATGCAAAACTGTTTAGAGAAGATAAATGAGGATTCCCGTGCCCCCCCCCCCCCCCCCACCCACCCCAAAAAAAGCTTGCCCTGAGGAGAAATAAGCTGAAACACTTAGTGATAACTGGCAAGCTTCGTGAGAACAACACAATGAAAGGAAAGACAAAGCGATAACCACCTGGATGACTTAACCACACGACATCATCAGAGCAACAACACAAAAAACCACCACAGGCTGAGGTAATTGGTTGAGACCGTGAGCTATTATTGCCTTTGCTTGTTGGCACATAATAATAATGTTTTTTTTTTTTAACTTAGCCTTATTCTGTGTAGAGTTATTGCTTTAACTCTATCTATTCAACAATTGCTTTTAAACTGTCCGTCTCGATGCTGATTTGAACCACAGATCTTCGCGCCGAAAGGCGAGTATCTAGCCCCTATCGGAGCACCCAAAGAGATACGGTTAGTTGCGTATCCTTTACAGGACGTTGTAGAACCAACCCTGATCCGGGTTTTTCTAGGTAATTTACGTCCAGTAGTTTGCCATAACCAAAGAGATAAACAACACTTAAAATGATGTTATTCCAACGTTTTGTATAAATAATACGGAGACCCGGACAATAAACAAGCAATTAGTCGAGTCGCTGGAGATGTGGATATACATTAGAGTGGGTAGCTTTTTGTACAGACAAAAACAATCAAATACAGAGGCTCCGGAGACAGTATAAAAAGATGGTTTTTGGATGGCCACACTAAAAAAGACTTTCTTTAATAACAATAATAGAACGAGAGGTCGAAGCCAAGAGAGCAGCCAGTAGCAATGATATCAATTGAAGAATATCATTGACAGTTCGGATCGAAATAGACGATAGTCGCGGTCACTGTTTACAGTCGTGGCACACCTTTAGCTTCTTACAGACGGTGGCCGTTGCATTTTCTTCCTTGTTTAGACTAAAATGATATACAGTTTTGTCGCTCAGCTACTGAGCTGAGTGCATGGTGCGACACTGTGAGCTGCTGATTCCACTTAAATGTCTATTGACTGTGATCAACATTGAGTTGTGAACTGCAGATTCAGAAACTGGCGTTTGGCTTGTTACCAGAGAATTGGTGGTGCCTTATCTGATTAAAATTGATAGCATATCCAACCGCTGGTCTGTTTGTAACGGCTGCTTTCGTCGATGGTGAACTGTATTTATAATGTCGGACTGTTTGTGTTAGAAATCTAATGACTGCTGTATACTGTATATGCGTGTGTATGCTGGTAAATGCAAGGATATCTAGGACTAGCGTTGCCTGTGGCAGATTGTACACAAATATTTTGAACAGAAGAGGCATAACCCTGCAGACAAAGCTTAAAGTATACAGAGCAACTGGATTAACTACACTGCTGTACACATGTAAAACATGGATTGTATACCAGCGCCGAGCCAGAAGGTAAAACCACTTTCACACAGTCTGCCTTAGAAAACTAATGTCGATCAGATGGCAAGACAAAGTACCTGATACCATAGTCCTTGAGAAAGCAGCCATGCCCAGCATCCACACTCTACTGATGCAGTATCAAATTCTTTGGGCTGGTCATGGGGCACGCATGCCAGATCACAGGCTCCCCCAAAAAATCTATGTTGAGCTGCAAAATGGGAAACTTTCCAAAGGCGGGCAAGACAAACGCTTTAAGGACAACTTGAAGTTTTCACTCAAAGCATTTGGGATGAATGAAACCAATTGGGAGGCTGCCTCTCAAGACTGAAATGCATGGCGGGCAGCTCTACACAAGGGCGAGGCTACATGTGAAGCAAACAGAACAGCAAGACTGATTAGGAAAAGGATGGGCAGAAAGGCGACTGCAAGAGATCCCCTCACTGGCACAACACTAATCCTCTGTTCTCACTGTCCAAGAACTTAATAGATCAGCATCGGCCTCATCAGACATCTTCGTACTCATACTTAATTTTTTTTTAAAGTGGTCATCATCATCATCTAGATGGACAACACACATCGGCCTCATCAGACATCTTCGTACTCATACTTAATTTTTTTTTAAAGTGGTCATCATCATCATCTAGATGGACAACACACACACACGCTAGTGGATATGCAGAGACTGCAGTCTGTGTCACCTATTTCCCACAAGGGACTGTGATGAACATTCTGTGCGTGTTTCCTTGGCTGGAGCGAACGGCTATCGGGTGTCCTGTATGCTATGAAACTAAAATTAAGTTTGCCAGATTACCAAATGAAGATCAAGAGATCGCCGAACTTAGCAACCTGGCGAGATAAAAAGCGTGTTGGAAATCCCATGCAGCCAATGTTCAGTGCGGAGACGAAACGTGATGAATTAATTGTAAATGTTAAGACATTAATTACTTGTGAACAAGTTATTTGAGTCAACAAAAAGTTAGGGCGGAAAATGTTAAAATGTACACCGACCATTAGAGTGAGGCCTGGTTCGTCCACTTTGGTAACTAATGACCGAACAAAGTAAAAAGGACTCTTTTCCACATCTCTAGGCATATTGGGCATGTAGGGGCATTTTATAGTCGACACTCGGTGACTGATGCAGCCTATATCACCATTACTTCCCAGGACTTTTACCGTGGCAAAGGGGTCAAACCTTTTGCCTCGCGCTCCGAAGGTCGTTGGTTGGTTTTGCAGCTACCTCGTTCAGTTCACGAATGCAGTTTTTACGGAGATCCCTGGAGATTGTCGCCAGGGTTACGGAGTTCGTGCTTTGTGCGATGCTCTCTGCAAGGCGGCTAGTCGTTATGCGGATGGAGACCGAGCCATATGGAATAAAACCAGGTGCAATGAAGTCGATCCTTTAAACTTTAACCTCTAACCTTTCACAGGACTTTGACCTGGTACCTATTTAAGGTTGGATCGACTTCAGAGTCAAGAAAATTAAAAGAGAAAAAACAAAGTCAGCCTCGGTTCCGATCTGAACCCGCGACTTTCAGGTCCGTAGTCGAGGATCCAGCTGCGTCTCACAAGTAGTTACATTTGGACGTGCGCACTTGTGGGACTTGCGAATGTGCACTTTTAGCCACGCAGTTTGTGGCCGGTTTTAAGTGCAGACACAGGTAAGGCAAGATGTTTACCTGCGTCCAACAGGCCAGGCATGTGTTTGCGATTACCTTTGTAGTTCACTTATTTAAGAGCACAGGCGAGACAGGTACCACGAAAACATCAATCAAGGCTTCATGTGGAGCAGAGGGGTTTCAATGTAGCCTTGCATAACCTACCATCTCATTTTTTTAATGGCACCGATTCAAGAAATCAAGCAATGTTGAAAATTAATGGACTCTACTAATAGAAATTCGTTATACTAATATTTTTTTCAAATTTAATAATAAAGAAAATATTTTAAAACTTAAAAAAAAAGCCAAGGGCGTTTTGGTTTGTTTTCATGCGTGGTTTGTTCAAAATCTGATTAATTTTATAACACAGGCATTTAAGTATAGATTAAAAACACACTTCTCTCCTTTTTAAAAATCATATTTTGTAATGTCGGTGAGTGGTGGTGGCCATGCGGGTCTTGTCATATAATCAAGTGGAGTGCCACCCGAGAAAGATTGGATACCACTGGTTTAAAATGGATTGGGGAAAGGGGGGGGGGGGGTTACTAAAATATACCCACGCATATACATACATGCACAAATGCGCACAAAGACATAAAGACAAAAACGTAGAGAGATTAAAAAAGAAGTAAAGAGGGATGGGATACACACATATATATAAATAAACACACACACACACACACACACACACACACACACACACACACACACACACATATATATATATACATATAAATATAAAGAGAGGGAGAGAGGAAAAGATATTGAGACAGATACAGATTTACAAACATTAGATCAATTGTAGGAACCACACCATGCCTGCAATACATAAAGAAGCAACAAATAGAGTGGTTTGGCCACTTGATGCGAATGCAAACCGACCAACTGCCTCTACGAGCATACAACAAACAGCACTACTTCCCTAGAGCAAGAGGCAGACCTAGAGTACGATGGATAGACAATATATCAGAGATCCTGAGGCAACACGGACTAACAACAACACGTGCAACACACCTGGCCCAGGATAGAAAACTGCGACTCCCCACTACGCTGTGAGGCAATTGTGGACAAGACAAGACAAGACAAGACAGAGATACATAGAGAAAAGAGAAAGATGGGGAGAGAGGGGGATGTAGAAAGACACACACTCATACCACACATGTACACAGGGACACAGCGAGAGAGAAGGATAAAGAATGGACAGAGAAAGACAGAGAGAGAAAGAGAGAGAGAGAGAGAGAGAGAGAGAGAGAGAGAGAGAGAGAGAGAGAGAGAGAGAGAGATGCGTATGCCATAATTCTTTGAAATCCAATTTTAAAAATGCATAAACATCCAACAAAGCGAAATCCACTTCTAAAGGCTAAACGATTCTAGCAAATCTAATATATGTAAATGATACAACATGAAAGACTTAGGTATAAATTTACATTAATACATCCAACATCTCAGCCGCTACACATTTAAAAAAGGAAACACAAAAACTCCAAGCGCAGATAAACCAACAGAGAGAGAGAGAGAGAGAGAGAGAGAGAGAGAGAGAGAGAGAGAGAGAGAGAGAGAGAGAGAGAGAGAGAGAGAGAGAGAGAGAGAGAACGAACGAAAAAAAATAACTTTATTTCCAGAGTTACAATTTGGAAACGAAGGCCCGTGTTACATAAGACCGTCCCTAGCATTAATCTTTCATACGGCAGTTGTATTTTAGATATCAAAAATACTCACAAGCTCACACACACACACACACACACACACAAACATGCACAACATAAACAGCCATACACACAATCTCAAACAGAAGACGTATACACACACAGACCTAACACACATATACAAAGAGAGACAAAGAGAGACAGAGACAGCGAGACACACACACACACACACTCACACACAGATGTATATGGGTGTGTTTTCTTTCCCTAATGTGTGTATTTAGAACGTGTTCTCTTCCATTTGCATGTGTGTCTGTGTGTGTGTCCTATCTCGTGTATATCTGTGTGTGTGTGTGTGTGTGCTCTTCCTCCCTCGTTGATGTGTGTGTGTGTGTGTCCTATCTCGTGTATATCTGTGTGTGTGTGTGTGTGCTCTTCCTCCCTCGTTGATATGTGTGTGTTCTTTATTCTTCGCGTATATGTGTTTTTTCGCCTCCCTCGTGTATATGTGTGTGTGTTTTTTTCCTCTCTTGTGCATATGTGTGTAAGTGTTTGTTACCATCCTTCTTGTTGCGTATATGTGTATGTATATCTGTTCTCCCTTCTTCACGTGTGTGTATGCATGTGGGCTATCCACTATCGTGTGTGTGTGTGTGGTGTATGTGTGTTTCATCCCAGATGTGCATTTTTTATTTGCCTTCCCCCCCCCTCCCATTTTCCACCTCTTTTAAATATGCGCCTGCGCGCCTGCCCTGGCTCAAGTATGTGTGTGGCAATTTTTACGACAGCAAGATTGGATATCACACTTACACTTAAGAAGTGAAGAAATTGTGTTTACGAAAAATATAGGAGAGGCGTGGATAAAGGTGACAACATTGCAAACCAACCACAGATAAGAAAGACGACAGAAACATACAGAGAACCAGCAAGAAATAAGAAAGACGAAAGAAAAGAAAGAAACATACATAGATGAAAGGACAAAAGAAAGGCAGGCAGAAAGAAAGAAAGAAAGAAAGAAAGAAAGAAAGAAAGAAAGAAAGAAGAGAGAAGAGAGAAAGAAAGAAAGAAAGAAAGAAAGAAAGAAAGAAAGAGAAGAAAAGAAAGAAAGAAAGAAAGAAAGAAAGAAAGAAAGAAAGAAAGAAAGAAAAAAAGAAAGAAAGAAAGAAAGAAAGAAAGAAAGAAAGAAAAAAAGGTAAAAAGAAAGAAAGAAAGAAAGATGGAAAAATTAGCAACCTACCCATCTCCGAGTCGTAATCTCCAATAAATCGGCCAGTCAGGAAGCGGACAATCATCGCTGTGGGAGAAACAAGATGTATGGCGTGTGGTTAAACAATAGGTATGGAGTGTGGTTAAACAAGATGGATGTAGTGTGGTTAAACAAAATGAATGGAGTGTGGTTAAACAAGATGCATGGAGTGTCGTTAGACAAAATGTATGGAGTGTTGTTAAACAAGATGTATTGAGTGTCGTTAAAGAAGATGTATTGAGGGTGGTTAAACAAGATGTATAGAGAATGGTTAAACAAGATGTATGGAGTGTGACTTAACAAGATGGATGATGTGTCGTTAAACAAGATGTATTGAGTGTGGTTAAACATGATGCATGGAGTGTGGTTAAACAAGATGTATGGAGTGTGGTTAAACAAGATATATTGAGTGTGGTTAAACAAGATGTATTGAGTGTAATTAAACATGATGTATTGAGAGTAGTTAAACAGGATGTATTGAGTGTGGTTAAACTGATGTATAGAGTGTAGTTAAACAAGATGCATTGAGTGTGGGTAAACAAGGTGTGTAATGTTTGGTTAAACAAGATGTATTGAGTGTGGTTAAACAAGATGGATGTCGTTAAACAAGATGTATTTAAACATGATGTATTGAGTTAAACATGATGTATTGAGAGTAGTTAAACAGGATGTATTGAGTGTGATTAAACTGATGTATAGAGTGTAGTTAAACAAGATGCATTGAGTGTGGGTAAACAAGATGTATAGAGTGTGGTTAAACAAGATGGATGCAGTGAATTTAAACAAGAAGTATGGAGTGTGGTTAAACAGGTTGTATGGAGAGTGGTTAAACAAGATGGATGGAGTGTGATTAAACAAGATGTATAGATAGTAATTAAACAAAGTGTATTGAGTGTTGTTAAACAAGATGTATTGAGCGTGTTTAAACAAGGTGAATTGAGTGTGGTTAAACAAGATGTATAGAGTGTGGTTAAACAAGATAATGGAATGTCGATAAACAAGATGTATTGAGTGTGGTTATACATGATGTATGGTGTGTGGTTAAACAAGATGTATAGAGTGTGGTTAAACAAGTTGTATGAAGTGTTATTAAACAAGATGTACAAAGTTTGGTTAAACAAGATGTATTGAGTGTGATTAAACATGATGTATTGAGAGTGGTTAAACAGGATGTATGGAGAGTGGTCAAACATGATGGATGGAGTGTGATTAAACAAGGTGAATTGAGTGTGGTTAAAAAAGATGTATAGAGTGTGGTTAAACAAGATTATGGAGGGTGGTTAAACAAGATGTACTGAGTGTGCTTAAACAAGATAGATGAAGTGTCTTAAATCAAGATTTATGGAGTGTGTTAAATAAGATGTATTGAGTGTGGTTAAACAAGATGTATTGAGTGTGGTTAAACAAGATGTATTGAGTGTGGTTAAACAGATGTATAGAGTGTGGTTAAACAATATGGATGCAGTGTGGTTAAAAAAGATGTATGGAGAATGGTTAAACAGGTTGTATTGAGAGTGGTTAAACAAGATGGATAGAGTGTCATTGAACAAGATGTATAGAGTGTGGTTAAACAAGATTTTGGTGTGTGGTTAAACAAGATGCATAGAATGTGATCAAACAAGATGTATGGAGTGTCGTTAAACAAGATGTATAGAGTGTGGTTGAACAAGATATACAGAGTGTGGTTAAACAATATATGTTGAGTGTGGTTAAACAAGATGTATTGAGTGTGGTTAAACAAGATGTATTGAGTGTAATTAAACAAGATGTATTGAGTGTATTTAACCAATATGAATGCAGCGTGGTTAAACAAGATGAATGCAGCGTGGTTAAACAAGATAAATGGAGTGTGGTTAAACAAGATGTATAGAGTGTGGTTAAACAAGATGTACTGAGTGTGGTTAAACAAGATAGATAGGGTGTGGTTAAACAAGATGTAGGGAGTGTGGTTAAACAAGATGTATAGAGTGTGGTTAAACAAGATGGATGGAGTGTGCTTAAACAAGATGTATAGAGTGTGGTTAAACAAGATGGATGGAGTGTGGTTAAACAAGATGTATAGAGTGTGGTTAAACAAGATGGATGAAAGTGGTTAAACAAGATGGATGAAGTGTGGTTAAACAAGATGTATGGAGTGTGGTTAAACAAGATGTATGGAGTGTGGTTAAACAAGATGTATGGAGTGTGGTTAAACAAGATGTATGGAGTGTGGTTAAACAAGATGTATGGAGTGTGGTTAAACAAGATGTATGGAGAGTGGTTAAACAAGATGTATGGAGTGTGGTTAAACAAGATGTATGGAGTGTGGTTAAACAAGATGTATGGAGAGTGGTTAAACAAGTTGTATGTAGTGTGGCATTACGAAGCTACCTGTCCCCTGAGTACTCCTCATTAGAAATGCCATGAATGACCAGGAGAAAAGAAAATGTCTGTATACACAAATATCTAAACAAAAGGAAAACTAGAGAAGAAACCTTTCAATATTATAACTCTATCATGTTGTGGACTGATGGCGATTTTAATAGGTAATTTTACATTCAGTAGTTTGCCTCTGCATCAACACGCTTTTTAATACAGTAGAACCTCGCTTAACGAACACCTCTCATAACGAGTAATTCGCATAACGAGTAACACAAATTGATAAAAGATGACTTGCTTAACGAGCGACGTTTCGCATAACGAGTGGCGAGGAGAGGGGAAGTCCCGAATTGTGCACATGTTACACCAGTCTGTGTTTAGCACTCGTTCCAGTAGCATCGTAGTATCGCTTGTGATCACACATTTTCTCAAAATTGTGCTATATCGTGATAAATATACACGAATCCTACAGGCCTTCAAGATGACCTCTCTGAAGAATTTAACTTCATCAAGATCCAGTTTCTGCCTCCCAACACCACTCCGTTACTCCAGCCCATGGACCAGCAAGTTATTTCTAACTTTAAGAAGCTCTACACTAAAGCACTTTTCGAGCATTGTATTCAGGTGACTAAAGGGACCAACCTCACTCTCAAAGTTTTGGAAAAAATTACTTCCACATCGTTGCCTGCCTCAAGATGATCGACAAGGCTGGGAAAGGGGTTACCTGGAGAGCGTTTAGACGGAGAGATTTGTCGATTTGTGACTTTGAGGGGTTCGAGACAGTACCTGTGGTACCTGAAGTCGACGAAATTGTGTCTTTAGCCACTATCATGGGATTGTAGTTGGATAACAGTGATATTGAAAAGCTTTTGGAAGAGCAAAGACAAGAGGTGACCACCCAAGAGCTTATGGAATTGCATTGTTTTTCACAAGAAGTTTTGGAGGAAAGTTTGTCAGAGGAGGACGAGAAGGTAACAGAAAAGCAACAATCTTCTGGCGAAATAAGAAAAATGCTGAAAACATGGGAAACTTCTGCATCTTACATCGAGAAGCATCACCCCAAAAAGGAAGTGGCTATGCGCGTTGCAAATTTTTTTAATGATAATGCTGTGGTCGGATTTTCGCCAAATTTTGAAGCGCGGCAAAAACAAATGTCTCTGGACATCTTTCTAGTAAAACAAATAATTAGCAATGTAACATAATTATTTCGACTTTTTTTTTCCTGCAAATCGAATTCGCATTCCAGGCGGGTTCGTTCTGCGTTTGAAGAAAAGATGAAGATGATTCACTCTCCTTTACAATATGAATATAATTTTCTTTGAATAAACGTTATACATAGCATTTTGTGAGTATTTTTTCCCCTTGACATGGAACGCATTATCGTATTTTACCTTAATTTATATGAGAAAAATTGTTTCGCATAACGAAGTGTTTCGCTTAACAAGTATGATTCTGGAACGAATTATGCTCGTTAAGCGAGGTTCCACTGTAGTTTCTATCAGGGTACCACCTCTAAATCGATTCTGGAAATTTCGAACACACAGTCAAAAGACCTTGGATTTCAACCGTGCTAATCCTTCCATCTTCACCGTATTCCTCCCCCAGGGGAAAAAAAAAAAAAAAGCTTGATTTTTGCAGCTTCGTCCTTCTGCTGCTGGTGACTCTGCTGAGGTTCTTGCCTTGTCAGCTCAGCTGAGTAATCGTCTACTGACTCTTTAGTTGGCATATGTCAGGCATTCGGTTTCAAGGCGGTATTCAAGTTCCGATGCCAAATTTGCTTGCAAATTTTTTAGATTCCAAGTTGTACGAATTTTGAAGAGTTCGATATCCGAGCTGCCACTGTACCTATCAAAGTGCCTTTTATAACTGTTTTCCAGAAATGGATATTTGAAAAGTATTCTGACAAGTAATGGCGTTTCTGGTGAACTGACCATAGTACCTAAAAAAAAAAAAGCTAGTTAGTTGCCTTTCGTTTAAGGGCGTTGCAGAACCAACACTAGCTGTTTTAGTCTGTTGTGGTTTTTCTAAGCGAATATTACGTTCAGTAGATTGCCACGGTCAGCTCTCGGTCATCCTCATCAATTCACTTTATGCCTAGTGGCACATGAGGCTTCAGAGAGGACTGTTCCATGCTTTCCTGTCCTGTGCAATCTTCAGTGCAGTTTTCAATGTCAGAGACGCCGCTTTCAGGTCACTCTCCATCGTTCGTCTCCATGTTGTTTTTAGGCGCCCCTTCTTTCTCTTTCCCTCTGGTGTCCATGTGGTCAGCTCTCGGTACCACTGTCGAAACCAACGCAAGACAAAGCATCTTCAGCTGGGATCAAACACGGCACCCCGGCATTACGAAGCTCGTTCGCACACCTGAAGTCAGAGACGCTGAGTGGTCTATAAATAAACTCATAAGCATCATGTATCTATTGTTTTCTTCTTCTGCGTTAAAAAAAGCAGTTGTCATATTGTGTTGTGGTTTACAACTGGACGAGATATCTGCGCGATTCGGGCAAAACCGTTTTAGCAAATCCCTAATTAATTAGTCATCTTTTGCGTCGTGCTCCAAAAGAGAGGCAGTTTGTATTCACCCTTCCCCCTCCCCTCCCCCTTTTTCGCCACCAAAATGAAGCTCTGGAACCCAATGGGGAATAACTCCTTGTCTGGTGCTAGTCTGGTGTGGGTATGGGACAGTTAGTAGG